ATGCTTCATTTGAGGAAAGGTGAATACACACACTTAACTCCACATTCTTGAAGAGCTATGGTTGTTTTTCAAATGAGGTCTATATAGTATTTTCACCCACCTCACATAGTTCCTTAAAATAGTAGAGCTGCTGATGCACATTTATCTATTCTGTTCTCCCACTGCTCAGGCAATCCCTATCTTGCCACGTGAAACATTACAAGAACTGAGAAGAACCACACTTCCATTAAAAAGGACTGCAAGGATGTTTCCAGTGTCTGTTCACACGATAAGCAAAAACCAGGGGAAGTTCCAGCATTAGTTCAAAATAAAAGCTAAGCTTTCCTGTTTTTATTCCATGCTAAAAATGCATCAGAGGATTTATGCTTTTGTGCCAGAAACAGATCAACTGGGACAGATAAATGTCTTTCCAAGCAATCTAAGAATATACATATCAAAATGTTTGTTCCTTTACGGAACAATAATATGAAGAGTTAGCTTTTTTGGCAAAAAGCTTTTTTAGCACAAAGCCCACATTTTAAGTGCCAAATTTTTTTTCCAAGATAAAACACAGGAAGAATCCCCAATCACTTTCAGTATATGTATCAATAATTTCTGGCAGATAAAAGACTAATGGGCTATTTTACACCATTATCACCTTCAGAACTTCTTTGCAACATTATGGGATTTCAGCATCTCTGCAAGAGACATCATAAAGCAATTATTTCAGGGACAACTTTTCATCTTAGCTGTCCACCTAAACTACTTCCTTCCCCAAACTTTCTTTCCTTAGCAGAAGAGATTCTTATATCCAGGGTAACTATACCATACTTAAAAAGTATAGTAGAACATGTACTGTAACACATATATAGTACACATACAGAATACTTAACAGTACGTGTACAGGATAACATGTTAAGCAAACACTCCACATCAGAATTCAGGAAGATGACCTTCATAGCTGTTCCTCCAAGCTAACACAAAATAAAGTCTAAAGGTTCCTTACAAGCTGTATGTAAAATATTCTTCAAGATAGCATCATATGCCACTTCCTAAGGAACTGTCACCAGCATTACATATAAATGACAAAATTGTTCCATAAATGAAAAGACCAGGAGAAGCAGCAGTAACATGCTTCATGGGAAATGACAGCTCACCCACTTAACAGCACTGTTACCAAGGGAGCTGCATCAAGCAAGATGAGTAAGTTCAAGTGACTTACATCTCCCTTAGATTCCAAGCAGAAATTTTGTATTTTTTCCCTCCTTTAATCATTGAACAAATGCCAGCTTTATTACAACTCCATGCTTGAGTTCACATACACAACACTAAATGCAACAGTTCCCCTTAGTTCGCTCAAGAAATAAACTGCCAAGAAAACAAAGTCGATCTATCTGCAAATACACGTATTTCTGTTCCAGTGCTTTTTAAAATAGTATTTCATTTTGCTATGCTAGTGTCAGTTCCTTCACAGACAAGTCAGCCTCACCTCAGTGATGTAATGGTTCCTTTCTTCTTCCCCATCCCTTTTTAAGCTCTTAAATAATCTCAGTTCTGTGCAGCTTTTAACTTAATGTTAAGTGTGAGAAACAGGAAAAACAGGAATGGCTTCCCAGAAAGACAAATCAGACATGGAGGAGAAAAACCAATCACAAATGCTTCTTAATGAAGTGGAGATTACAATTTAAGAGATTTATAGGTTAAGGGATTTATGGACTATGAGGTTTCCGAACTGACATACACTAATCTATAGGTATGCACAGGGGCCCAGAAAATGAGACCAAGGTCCAAGCTTGTAGCAAACAAAAGCCATCCCAATTCTGAGGATGACAAGGGTGCTGGAAAAGGGTGGACAAGGGTTGGGGCAATTCTTTTATGAGTCTAGGAAACTAAGAAACTACAAACTACTAACTGGTACCACTGATAAAAGTGTTATTATCTGTCCTTGGCTCCAGCAACCTTGCAAATTGAGTTCTGTTCACATGGTTGGTCAGCCTGTCAGAAATTTTTTTTCCTCAAATCACTTCTTACAAATGCAGTGCTTCCTCCCTCTTCTTTTTATTTTTTAAACGTAGGCCTCAATACAGCTTAAAAGCTTGGCTTGCTGATTTCATAACTGCATATTTTTTAACAAAAGCAACCATGTTTAGAACAGCCTAGCAGTCACTCATTATCTTTCAGTACAAGGTAAATACAAAGCATATTTACTTTCAATAATCATTACAGCCTGTAGTAACAGCCTATAGTAAACAGCAAATTACCATCCTTTCCTATGCTTTTAACATTTGCCATAGAAAAACAATCCATCATGCCCTACGCAAGCATGCTTCCAGTGCTAGAGACCGCATAACATATGCTCAGATTTATCAATCCAGAAACAGCATCAGGAAGATTACCTTTCTTTTTCCATCATGATCTGCACCGGGCTTAGCTGGTTACTTTTATTGCCAGTTCCCAGCTGCCCGTAAGTGTTAGCTCCCCAGGCATAGAGCAAGCCCTCATCTGTTAGTGCTAGTGTGTGTGCATAGCCACAGGCAATCTGTAAGTAAATGTATAAGCATTACTACAAAAAAAAAAAAAAAACAGATGAGAAACACAATTGTAGCACACATTACCTTACTCTAGCTGATGTTAAATTTCTCAGGCATTCTTCATTTAGCACTACAATGCATGATTTCTCAGTATTTAAAGCTAACAAAACACATTAACTGTAAATACTGGAAAAGTCCCAACTTCATTATGTTCATTGGTTACTCCTAAATTATTTACTGCACTTTTGCAAAGTCTCCCTAGTCCTTTCAGTTGCAGTCTCATCACACAAACAACAGTGAACTGTATCATAGAATCACAGAACAGTTATGGTTGGAAAGGATCTTAAGATCATCTAGTTCCAACCCCCCTGCCATGGTTCAGAATTTGATATTTTGAATACAATACAAACTGTAAGAGCTGCAGGTCAACAGCCAAAAACTGTTCAACCCAAGTTATCACATGAGGTTCCACAGAACCTTACTAAAACCACAGGAAGTCACAAATTCTAGTTTTATTCTTTAGCTGGGGAAAACAAAAACAACCCAACCACCAAATAACCAAACCCACATAATAACTCATTTTCCCTTTTCCCTCACTTCTGGAGGACTAATTAGACTATTCATGTAGAATCTAATTTGAACACCTTGTTCCCCTTCTTTTCGTGTCTTTACCCAGTGCATTTCATTCAGTTTCATAACAAAAACACAATTTGTATTCATAGCATAATTTACTCCTAGTTACACTAGCTAACTTTAAATCACTCAGAACATTTACAAAAGGGAGTATTTTACAGCTTACTTGCACTTTTCATAAGCCTAATATAATTTACAAGACATTAAAAAAAAAAATAAATCAGTATTTGAACGGTGAGATCTAGAAGCAGGTGTATGATTCCAAAGATACAGTTTTAGCAGGTGCTAGCAACATGAATGCATTTTCATTTCCACATTAGACATACCTGGAGGATACACACACCATGTAACGCTGCCACTCTGCATGGTGTTAGTTGATTGCCGTTGTTTCCAAGACCTAGCTGACCATTACCATTGTAACCCCAGCCATACACCTGATTGCAAAAGGAAAATGAAAAAATGAAATAAAGCCACTCCTCAGTAGAAGTACAGAACATTTAAGACTAAGTATCAAACACAAGTCAGAAAAGTACACCTTATTAAAAAAAACCCTGTACGTTATTTCAAGAGTAGTATCGAGAAGGCTAAAGGACATTAAATATACTATGATGACTGACTGCATTCAACTTTTCCATCCTGTGTTTAAAATATATTTGTCTTTGAAGTACTAGCAATTTTGCAATAAATTTACAATACACAAAAATCTCTCCCATAGTGTCAATATTTTACTTGACTTCTACACGTTCCTCATTATTACTTTTTTCTTTTAAAATATAAAAAGAAATTAGTTACTCTGATCAGCTGGTTAGCCACTAGGTTAGTTTAAACTAAAGTTCCCTGTTTAGCTCTATTTTTTTCCTTTAGTTTTGTTACAGTGGACACATCAAGACAGAAATACGTACAACAAAAGCCCATCTCAACCCCAGGGACTTCTGCAGTCCCTCCAGCCACAAAGAAATGCTGTGCTCTGAGCTTGATGAAATGTAGTAAAATTGAGGTTACAGTTCATACCTAGAAGCAAGATAGCACCATAAACCTCTGTGAAACAGAACAGTTGCACAATACTAGGGCAATGTGCAAACGCTGGGTTCAGTTTTGTTGCTGGCAATCAAGTGATGTGTTTAAGAATCAGGATGAATCAGTGTATTCTTGCAGAAAGATTAACTATTTAACTCTGCAAACTTTCAAAAATTAATGTAATTAAGACATATGTTAAAGAATCTATTGAAGACAGGATCTCCAGTTAATTGCAGAATTTTTCCTTAAATTTCTCTCACAGAAGTTATCTGTAATTCTATCAATACAACTCTGTAATTTGAGCACTCCATGTCAGCATCTCTTCATGTTCAGAGGTTAACCTCATAAGTTCAGATAACATAGAACATGAGCACACAACAATGCTTACCTCGCCATTGTTTACTACTGCCATGGAGGAGGTCTGACCACAAGCGATGCCAACTACCACTTTACCCTGTAAACAGTTTGAAACTCTACGAGGAGTTGGCTGGTTTGCTGTAGATCCAGATCCAACTTGACCACAGTTATTATAGCCCCAAGCATACAGCTGCCCATAAAACAAGCAAACAAAAAGTAGTTTAAGCTATAATAATGGTAATAAATTATAATCTTACTGTAGTCATCAGAGAGAGTAAACTATTCTACTGAACAAGCTAAAATGCTTAAAATTAAATTTCAACAGCTGAAAATTACAGCAATAGGACTGATCTAGCAAATATGCACATGGGACTTTTTTCCGCTTCTTGCTACAGAATTGGAGTATCTGACTACAACAGGAAAACAAAGGAACATATTTCTGTATTAAACGTACGTCAGACTATAAGACAGAGAACATAGTGAGTGGACTGTCTTTATATTTTCATTGCCCCATAACAGCTACTATGAAGAAGGAAGCATAAGGAAGAAGTTCTTTACTGTGAGGGTGGTGAGGCACTGGAACAGGTTGCCCAAAGCGGTAAATGCTCCATCCCTGGCAGAGTTCAAGGACAGGTTGGATAGAGCCTTGGGTGACATGGTCTAGTGTGAGGCATCCCTGCCTATAGCAGGGGGGTTGGAACTAGATGATCTTAAGGTCCTTTCCAACCCAAACCATTCTATGATAAGAAAATTAATTCTGTCCCAGCCAAAACCAGCACATTATGCCAAGTATTTCCACGAATACTTACAACTTTAATGCCTCTTTAAAATTCCAGATATATCAAGTCACAAGGGCTTCTGCAGCCAAATCTTGCTAAAAACAAGACTTTACTTAACATATTTCACTGCTTTCAGTATCATCAATTCTGGTACAGGTTAAACCTCAGAGCACAAACAGACTAAGCTACTGCAAGGTATGCTAGGGATGCTTTTATAGCACATTAACTAGCCACGATGTCAAGCAAGCTGCAAATCCCAACTCCATGGTAAATACAAAGAAACGTCCCCGCTTCCACTGAGGTTTCATGCATGTGACATTTATTACAAGAGACAGCATGGCCATCACAGGCAGCTACCGTACAGTAGCTGGCACCACTGATTTAACTAATGCATGAACACCCTCTCCCTCCTGCACATACGCTAAATTTTATTGTTTAACTGAGTCAACCATGACAGCATGAAGATCTTCCCTAAGAGTAGGCTCTCCCTCCAGACACAACACTTACATTAACCCAATGCTCTTTCCTACCCTCAAATACTGGTTTGCTACTTTGTATTACTGTTACACTATGACTCTACTGAACCATAAGAGGCATGCTCACATTACAACATTTTCATTGTTAGGAAGATTTTAAAATTAAAACTCTTCTTTTGTTAAAGCATAGCTGAAACCAGGCTTTCCTCCATGCAGTAGCATGCAACTCAAATCAGATATGCATAGATTGCTCAAATCTGACTAACTGGAAACTAATTGTATGTGTTTCCCATGACTCGTAGCCTTAAGCCATGTAAACAAATAGAATAAAGCAGACTGAGGTATAAACCAAGTGCTCTTTCATTAGCTACACACAAAGGTATTGAGGTGTGCAGAGCAACATTCTTTCACAGCAGGAGTGTGAAAATCATGAAGACTACAAGAAACAGACTTAACAGTAAGCAGTGAATACAAACAACACAATAATACCTCTTAAATAACAGAACTGCAAGCAAATTTATGTTACATTTTGCACCTTACAAACCATTATTTCACCTGTGACACCTTTCTGGTCTCATCCCTGTAAGACATACCACAAATGAAAGACATAATAGTTTACTAAGCTTTTATTCCATTGTTTTTGTGGTTGGATGGGGGTGTTTTTGTTGGGCTTTGTGGGTGGGTGTTTTTTTGAGTTGTTTTCGAGTCTGCTCTGAAGAGAAGGACACCCTAGTTTAAGGCAGCAGGAGAAAAGGTTATGCTGTAACTACACTATAGAGAAAGAGAAACATCAGACTGTGAGGTCGCCTGCACCATTCACATCAAGAGGGAGATTAAGAGATTTGCAAGTTTCAACTTACATCCCCATCAAATGACAGCGCCATGGAATGATGAGAGCCACAAGCTACTTCCACCACTTTCTTTACTAACAGATTTGTGCAAACTTGAACAGGAGTAATGCCCTGATTAGTTGTGCCATTCCCGAGTTGGCTGTAACCATTATGTCCCCAAGCATACACTTCACCATCTGCAAAAATATTGAAGTTTGTGATAAAACCCACCAAAAATTCCAAGGAAATTAAGATAGACAGAATTCTAAGAAATTAGCAAATGCCAACAGGAAAGTGAAAGGACATTAACAAAGAGCAAAACTATTACAAGAATCAACTGTATACTAAAAAATCATATACTTCATATGCAACTATTTTATACACATATATCACAAAATAAACCTCTTGGTTTATTGTAGAAATATATGGAAGTGCACAGGTAAGACTGATTATGCCATAAATGGTAAAATTCTATAGTTGCAACATAATGGAAATGGAAACTTACTTTACCTATTACTGAGTATATTTAGTTCCACTTAAGAACAGTGAGAAACCTTAGTGTGCATTACCCAATTAACAAGTTAATACAGTTACACCTTAATCCGCTCTTATTAAATGCAAGTAGAACTTTAAATCTGTAAAAAACTGATGTTTCGATACTGTTAATTTTCTACCTTCAGTGCAAAGTACAACATGGGGTCCGCTTCCATAACTGAGGCTGGAAATCTTCTTTCCACATAAGGCTTCTAATTTCTTTGGTACTATTGTGCTCTGATTATCTCCAGTTCCCAAACAATTACTGCAATTCAGTCCAAAAACAAATACCTGAAAAAACAGAGGAATACCGATTTCAAGTTACTTATACTCAGGTATGGACAGATGCAGCAATATCCAGGTCTTCATAAAACCAGGACAGAGTTTTGCCATGGACTCTTGAGAGCTAGAGACTTCACTCATGGAAGTTCACAAGCTCAAGAGTCAGCATGGGGACACTTTGGAAGTTAACTGATGAGTTTAAATTCTTCACATCCATGCGGGCCTCTCATTTGTAGGACCTGTACTATAAGAAGTATTAAACTGTGAAAGTGGAAGACACCACCTTCTTTTAAAAGCAGTTTGTAAAGAGCAGCCACAGTTGTACTGTGGGAAGCTCATCCTTCAGGCAGCTTTGACAGGACTTAGAGGGGGGGGGAAAAAAAATCCTGCTCTACCCAGTCTTACAAGAAACCTTCCCATTAATACACCCCAGAACATCTGGCTTGTTTTCTTCCAGCAGCATAATGCTAACTTACATCGAGTGTCAGAATCATTAAAATCCACAAATAATCCTCTGCTGTACTGCTACTTAGCAAGCCATAACCTAATTATGTACCTTCATACCTGGAGCGCTTGCACTTAATTTCAAGCTACAACAACTTCTTTTGAATTCTGACTGTCTTCAAAAGTGCATGTAATCCATCCTGGCCTTTGCCATTTGCAAGTTTTCTAAATACTCCATCTATATTGCCCCCATACAGGACTAAAAAAGAAATTAAAAGTTATGTCCAATGTATTTTGAAATACACAAATTTCACACAATGCTTTTGAGAAACTACTAATTTACAAGTATTCAGTGGACTCTGAAAACGACTAATTGTAGGGTATATGTTCCATTTTATTACAGCCTTACCTCATCATTGTGCGTTATGTATATAGCTTCATTGGCTGATGTACCAAATACGCACGCTTTCCGAATAGATGCCGTTTCTTGAGGTGACAGTAAGGTAAATATTGGCCACTTGCTTACATCCACCATGATGCTGCTGTGTGTCATAATGTTTCTACAAGTAAGATGACATTGCTGTAATAAAATCAGAAACTTATTAGAAAGCGTATTTTGCGCTTTCATCAGCAGGCAATAAGATAACTTCCTTTAAATTGGAGAAAATATATGTGTTGTGGCTTTGAAAGTATAACACTCTGTTCCGTAAGAAATAATGTAATTATATATGTATGAAGGTGGACAAATAGCAAGCCACTGGTAAGGCACTGGAAGAACAGGCATTTTCAATGGCATTACAATTTTAAGTAAATTGTATTTGGTACAACTGAACATCAGCTGTTCCACAAGCAAACATTCAAACTTTGTGACTCCCCTCGTGGCAGAGGGCATTTCAGCTGGAATACCTATTTATAAAATTTTCACTCAATTTTTTTGTAGTCTTACAACTTATATATGCCATGTAAGCAAGCTGTTGATGTATACGTGAAACCTGCAAACAAAAATAAAGCAGGGGCTGTTGAGCTCATGACCCAAATCTGCCATCTCTTGCATAATCAAAAGCTCTTATTATGGTCAAAAACTATTTGTGAGAGCACAAAAGTATGAGATAAACTCACAAGTTTGTACAATTAAGCAGTGAAACACATCAGAGAAAAGTGATCAAGTAAAATTTTCACAATCTGTTAGAAACAAGCTGACAACATTAAAAGCTGGAAACATGAACTGGGTATAGACATCATCTGTCAATGAACATAAGACTATACAATCCATCCTTGCACAATGCTCCTTCTTCCCAGTCTCCTCAGGACAATTGCACCAGCTCAAGAACAAAGCTGACAGTCAACACAAACACAGAGAGCTTATCTAGGTCTTCCATCCTGCACATAAAATCTGTAACATCACTCACACCCTGAAGGGATTCTGCCACTGCTAACCTATGACCCATGCTCAGGAGTATCAGCAAGTTGTGTGAGATCTTAAAAGCACTAGATGGAGAATTCCACAGAATGTCAATGACATGAAACAAATCACAATAAACCATAAAAAAAAAAAAGTAAAAATCAATCATTCTGATGATTCTCAAGACTGTGCTGACAACCAAGACATGGCTTCAGAATGCTATTCAAAACCAGCAGTCAATCCCAAAATACAGGTTTTTCAGTGCAAATTTTGGGGGGTGGGGGTATGTTATTATATTTTTAAGAAGTTTGAGAAACACTGAGGTCCCAGTGGAAATATGTACACAAAAAGAACCCAACACAAACAAAACCCAGACTTGTCGCCTGATCACATTTTGTAACCCTGCTCCAACAAACCCAGCTCTACTTTATAGGAACTTCTCTCACTAACAGCCTAACTTCACTCTACATTTCAGATTTGAAGCAGCTCTTGAAAACACCTGAAGTCTCCAGATGGCACATTCATACTAATTATATTTGTAGAATAGCTTTTAAAAGTCTACGTGATACCAAGACCACAGCACATTCTATGCAGCTAAACAGATTTGAATGCACTTAAGCCTTCTTAATTTCTAGTCAAGTTACAAACTCAGGCCTGTCAGGTGCCAAGATTTATTACCTTGCCTTGGCAAATCTTTTAACATATGACACTATCAATCAGTTAAAAGGAGACAGTGATTACTTGTTCACTTGCCCAGACCAAGTAACTGTTCCCTCTCACTTTCCCTATTTATTTTGCCGTGTGTCATGTAGAATTGGCAATGCACAAGCATGTCATAAACTGGACATTACAAAACACTATTTTCTTCACATAAGTTATTTTCAACATATCCTGTCAATTTAAGATACGAAGACAAAAATCATATTTTGATGGAGAATGTCCAGTAAATTAACAATTTCTAAAGCATCCTGAGAATATACTCTACCCTTAAGGTAACCAGTTTAAAATGTTCTCCCCTTTCTGATCTCTGCACTAGGTCTTTAATCTGCTTGGCTTATTTTCCTCTACTGTATGACTCAGTTAATCGCTCCTCTTCCACAAAACATTTCCAAGCACTACCCAAACCTATGCGAGTCACACCGCATTTTCCACACCTCAAAGCTCAACTGGGTATCTTGCCAGACAAATTAATACCAGTATATAAAAGAAAAGCTTTCAAGCACACAAGAACTTCCAGATTGAAGACATGAGCAATGAACTCATGTAACACTGCTTTATCTAAAACAACGCTGTATATTTCCAATTTCAACTACTACTACAATTCCACGAAGTTATTTCAAAGGTTTTCCTTAAAAGGTTTTTAATGGCAACTCATCTGCCACTGCCAAGTTAGTTTCTTTAATAAATCTCTATCCTAAAACCTCTCCAAGTTTAGCACAAACAGAAGATCTCTCTCTACAAGATGCACTGTTTCTCCTGAACACAGACCCTTTTCCCCTCCTTTACAACTAATAAATGTTGCCCTTAGATGCTGCCATTTGCTGGAGTATTTATCATCCTTCAGTTGCAACATTTTTACACTAGCAAGAGCAGCTATTTTTGTTCCTGCTTATATCTAAATGAGTGAAATTACATACAAACCTGGAAATTGTGGGGCTTACACATGGACTTACTGTTCCTGAGCTTTAACTGTGCATGGAAAGCTGCTTTAACTACTTAGTCTCTATTTTCCTCAGAAAATAAGTGCCCAACCTAGCACTCCCAAAACAGAAATCTAATTAATTGTAGCATCCTCTAAGACATATTGCACACTTTCCAAAAGGGCAGACACTGCAATATGGTGATTGACCTCTCACACCAATCACACTCAAACTCCATCCTTGTGCAACATTTGTCAGAATACAAGGGGAAAGGTGTGTGCAGAGTTTCTTCTGGGCAAATCCTTGCTATGAAGGGCTGATCTAGGAGACTTCAGTCATGTCATTGCAAGCAGTGGCACAAAGAAAAACAGTGTCCTTCACTCACCCTTCCTGTACTGCACCAGTAAGTGAGCTAAGGTTATTGTTTACTTCTCCTGATAATCACATAGAGGCCTGGACCCTGCCACATTACATGTTATGCAAGGTCTGCACCCTAACTGAAAGTTTGTACGTGCAAATGTAGTAGCAAATGCACTAGATGGAGCCCAAAGTAATAGTTATTTTAATCTGTAAGCAAATAGCTGTTTCAATGTATTAGTTCCCAAGCTATTGTTTAGATTCCGTATACAACATGGCAGCAGCAGCTCTAAGACACATCTGTCATGTATCAGCACCTAGATTTTAAGTTAATTGCAGTTGAAAGTCTTATGAGTATAAAAGTCATAAGCTTAAATTTGGTGCTCTGGTAGATAGCTGCTTTCAGAAATACTGTATGTCAGTGCTTTTGACTGTCTTTTAATTTCTGCTGCATGATTCAGTGACAACTAGACACCATGTACCTTTTCTTCTGCTGCAGAGCTAACCAGCAGAGGGCACTTACATCAGCAATACCTCTCCTAACTACTTTGACATCTTCGAAATTATTCAACAATCTCAGTATACAAACAGGAACAAAGATGATTGTTTAAATTTCACTGAGGCTAAAAATAAGCAAGAAAGGATGACTTGCTGAGAAGGAAATTGAACTGGCCGTATACTGGCATAAAAAGAAATTGAACTCAGAGCAGTCAACAACATTAGGGGAAAAAAATCCGTATCTGCTCAAGATTTCAAACAACCCACATGGTTTCAGAGACAGAACCCCTTCAAAAATTTGGTGCTAAACTGCTCCCTATGCATTTAACTTGTCACTAGTTTGCTTTGTAAAGAAAAGGTGTGCAGGCAGATTCTCAATGATACAGGTAGGTAAACAATTCCTGCCTTAGAGAAAAAAAAAAACAACACACAAAACAAAACTAGAAAACCCACCAGTATTTACAAAATGTTTTGTTAAATGATTTTACATAAAGTTTTCTAGAGTTTATAGTTCAGCTAAACAAATCCATGCTGGAGAGAACAATAGTCTAACACAATATCCTACCAGGAAAACAGTACCCATTGTCATCACAACAAAAACACCCTATAGTTAACTCCTCAAAGATTATCCCCTAATAAACTAGAAAACCCACCAGTATTTACAAAATGTTTTGTTAAATGATTTTACATAAAGTTTTCTAGAGTTTATAGTTCAGCTAAACAAATCCATGCTGGAGAGAACAATAGTCTAACACAATATCCTACCAGGAAAACAGTACCCATTGTCATCACAACAAAAACACCCTATAGTTAACTCCTCAAAGATTATCCCCTAATTTGTAAAGACTATTTGAACACAATTGCATGTTTGTTTGCCTCACTCTT